AAAAAAAATGTCAACACATAACATGTTTGGCTCGATAAAAATGTTTAAGAAAATTAACAATTCATCTTTCCTCATGACTTTACACATCGATCAATTGAAAAAAACATTCCTCGTAAAAGATTATAACTCGTAACTTTTTTTATTGCAGCTGCAGCAGCACCTGTTGATGATAGCACGGAACAGTTCGATATGGAAATGGAGTGAGAGGCGACTGTCATGCGCAAGTCTGTGATTAAGAAAATGTATTCATTTGTTTGATCCTACTTGACTTACTGACAAATCTCGATCCTACATTGAAAAATAATCGCCAAAGCGTGCGTACTTCCGTTTTATTGCAATAAATAACATTTTTTAAAACTAGAAGAAGCTAGTATCATGAGCTCTTCCAAAAAAAGATGCATTTCTTTTATCAAAAAAGTCATTATTATTAAACTAAAAATCAATCAGAAGATTACTAGTAGGAATCAGAAGAATGATAATTAAGCTTCTCAAAGAAGCGAGCTTTACTTCCCAACTGCACGTTACCACGCAGTTACTTTGTTGCCATTAATTGAGTCATAAATAAAAGACAAGGAGCCCCCCCCCCTTTTTTTAATCAGTTATCGCGTTATAACTCGCGATGCGAATGATCTCCTTATATACATTGGAATAATATATAATTTTTTTTATCAAATACAAAGCTGGCGGAAGTGCTTTGTATTATAATAAATTTTTTTTTTTTTTTTAATTATCTGTTCACAAAAAAATGAGCTACTTTGGAGTACAGCCAAGAAAATTTTTTATTTTTATTTTGTAAACTCTGATTAATGGCAAGATACTATTGGTTAACTCAAGTAGACTAAGATATTTTTGGTTGATCATTTTGGGCAGAGAAAAAAAGTGAACGAAAAGCAAACATTCTGAATAAAATATGTCGATATTAATAATGCAAAATAAAAGGGCCACTAAATCCAAGTATAGTCTTAACGTATTCTCTGAAAATAACAGTAATATAATATAAAAAGTGTTGGCAATAATGTTTTTGCACGTTCTCGAAGCATAAAAATCACTTTTTTGAATAAATTATAATGTAAAAAAAAATTTTTTTTAAAATAGAAATATTTCAACTATGATGAAAAAACACGTAATCTGTAAATACTGTCACTACTGTTCAAGTTTTTTTTTTACATTTCTAGGCAAATAAAAAAGAAAGATAATAAGTCTTGTTGGATTAAAATTGATGCTTTTTTCCGTAGAGGTATACTACTGTTTTATGTTACTGTTCACAGCGAATAACTTTCATTCAACTTTAAATAATTTAAAAATATTTTGAAGCCACAGAATATAACCATGCGTCGTATGTCTGACTTAATTAAATAAAATAAAATTATTACTTGATTCATTATGAATTCCCTGTAATAGTTACCTTAATAAATAAAAAAAAATAATAAAATTCATTACGAATTATTAAGGATATATCACTGGTTATTAAATTATTAGAAAAAAAAATAGAAAACGTATTCTGATTAGTGTTGTTCCTATAAAAGTATGAGATGTAAATTATTTTTAGCCACGTCAGTTTGATTAAAATTTTTAGTATTCATACAACGAAGCGTTCGAGTAAGACACACTAGACATATATTTTATCGGTTCGTATTATCACCAGATAACTTTCGAGCTTAGTTTTTGTTATTTATCGTATATTATTTTTGTTCAGCCTAATGCGTAGAAGTATGATAAAATGTTGAAGCGTGATGATAATATTTCATTATCTTGCTAGTGTATGGAGAAAAACAAATAGAAAAGCACACCTGCAATAGATTAAAAGCTGGAAAATCCCAAAATAACGAACAGCTTGCGTATTAACTTTTTTTGAACACACCATTGGAATAGTTATATAATCTAGACCCATTTGTTGAAAAAATTGATTGATAATATTTTTTTTCTATTTTTTTAAAAGTATGTATTTAATAGCTTGAGATCATCATATGCCATCACTATACTGATTTTATCACTTAGTTTATCTTAAAATATGAATAAAGTCTCCTAACTCATCAAAATAATGAATATGATAAGTAGTATAAATACTACTAAAAATAACTTTAAATTTTTTCCCCGTACACTGAGTCGCATTAAAAACTTTAGTAAATCATCAAGTACAAAGTTATGTTATTATGTGTAACTTTTATAAAAAAAAAAAAAAAATTAAATGTGTTACAGGAACGCGCATTGTGTATGAGCGAGGTTTTCTTATGAATCTTCGAAACTCGCCGATTTCTCAGACGCCACCAAAGAACATGCCAACAATACCAGCCAGTATTCTGAAGGACTCGCCAATAACGGCGACGTCGCCTTTCAAGTCACCAAGCCCACCTAAAGGTGGGTGCTCCTCTACTCAATATTGCATATTGCATATGTTTTATTCTACGTGTATTACAAATAATATAATTTTTTTTAAATTTTTTTTAACTAACTTTGTTCCGATTTCTGTTAAAGTTACAATATTGTACCCTATAATGGATAATAACGTAATGTAATATTTGTAATATTAATAATGCCGGATGGAACATTAAGTAATATTTTTAGTTAATGAATATGCATTAATTTTTGCAAGTATATAAAAAAACTATATAGCTTGAATTAAATGAAAAATTTAGTTTTCAATATATTCTTAAACTAGAAAAGTTAAAAAGAAAAAGCTTTGTCCCAAAACGGCGTTGGGTAATTTTTGATTTTTTGACTAGATGTTCTTATTAGCCAATAAACTCAGAGTTTCAGACTTACTGTACATCATGCCTACATACCATCGTGTGTGTTTGTAGAAATTTGTTAACATTATTGAGACTATTTACAAAATTTTTCTCGTCGTAAAAAAAAAAAAAAAAAAATGTACATGAAAGCAAAAAATTAATAAAAAGTATTAACACCACCATCGATATACAGGAATTTTTTTATCACCGCCGACAGACGATGAGGATCGGATTGTGGCTCCTGACAGCTATAACTAGCATCACCCAGAGAACAATGGCCGAAACACCGATAAACGGCGTTAAAGCTGCCAATGTACTTGGCGGGCTCCAACAGCATGCCTCGTTCAGCTTCGTGAGGCCAGGCCTGACGCAAACTACTTTTGCGTTCAACGGGCCGTCCTCCCATCAGACGTTCAGCTCAAGTATTGGTGATCCACACCTGGCACACCGAGTGCAACCCAGCCTGGCTCAAGCTTTGGCTTACCGTAATCCCGGATTAGGTACGTATCATTATATGGGTATTAAATGCCCTAATATGTTTGCGACTCGATGAATTATTGGAGAGCTTCCGTTATCAAGAACTTCTTAAAGTAGCAGGCCACTAGTTGAAGTTCTCGTTGTATTTTTTTATTGGAGAGTGTAGGGCCTTTGATATTCATTTGGTAATTAACGGGGGTGGATGTATGTTTTCAATTTTCTTTTTTT